TATATTTTTTAAATTTTTTTAATTGTAAAGTAATATGTTACGTTTAAATGGAATATATTACATAACAATTATGTCAATTACAGGATTACAAGCTTATTTTCTAACATTTTTTAAATAAAACCAATTATAAAATTTCAATATATGTATATTTGTCATAGGTATGAAAAAAGTAAAATATAAAATGGACAAACGCTTACTTGCGTAAAAAGTTCTAAAGGGGGATGTTTTGTGATTCACAATGTCAAAAAAATACAATTAAAATTAATATAATATCCTAGCAACAGCTTTCGGTAATCAGTTGTATGCATAGAGAAAGCGTAATACTTGGCTTGTAAAACAATAAACTTTTGATTTCTAACAGCATTTTCTCTTGACCTTTGAATAAGAAGACTAAGGAAGGAGCATAATTCTATCCATGTATTTATGCATGGTGGGCGGAAAAAGGACTCTAGCCCCACCCTAGAGTCCTTTTTCCGCCATCCTTGACAGTTCTGTTTGACGATTCATTTGACACATTTGAATTTGACTTGAAATTTTGTGGATTTGTCAGTCTTTACGGAGCTTATTTTATGTTATTTATTCTACTACTGATAGTTGTATAAAGGTAGTAAATCTAGATGGAAATTGTGCCAAAACTTAAATTAACAGTGATACTATCGCGATTTATCGAAAAATACTCTAAAATAGTTGGTTGTGTAGTGTGAGGTAGATCTCGGCAAAAATCGAGTGAAATAATGGAACAACTTTTCGCTAGTAAGTGACTATATAATATGCATACGTGTAGTAAACCGATCATTTATGAAATCCACTTAAATTAACTAATTATATATTTTTTCTTGCATTTTTGCTTTTATTAACTACTTGTCAAAGATTAGATGTCAAAGAATTTAGATACGTCAATTTGACTTACCTGCTTGTAGCGTATCGGATGTTTGTGTTAATAAATAATTATTAAAACTTATCTATTTTTATTATAATAATATGTTTTTATAACAATTTTAATAACTACCAACATTTATTCACAACGTAAAATAAAAAAAAAATATATTGAATCTACTCCACTTCTACCCTACATCATAGTTTTACATTTTTTAAATAAAATTAGAACGGCACTGATAAACCGGAATTTAAGTCGGCCATATTTGAGTCCCATCGCGGTGGACCTAAGATTTTTGATATGCTCCTTCCTTAGTCTTCTTATTCAAAGATTCTCGCTTATGGCCATTAAAGAAAAAGTTCTAAAGGGGGATGTTTTGTGATTCACAATGTCAAAAAAACACAATTAAAATTAATATAATATCCTATTGAGATGCGCAGAATGGGCATAGAAGTCCTTGGTCTCAGCGAAGTTAGATGACCAAATGCTGGAGAATGTAATAGCGATAATGTGGTACTGTACTATTCTGGATGTCAGAACGGCGAACACCAACATGGAGTGGGTATTATGATAAAAAAAGAACTCAAACAATATGTTGCTAATTTCGTGCCCTATAATGAAAGAATGATGCTGATCCAGTTGCGTTACAAAGCCTATAAACACCAACCTGATACAGGTATATGCTCCCACAGCCGACAGCGATGAAGAAACTATAGAGAAGTTCTACTCAGACCTAAACGAGCTAACTAAAAAGTTGAAGAAACATGAAATTAACGTGATAATGGGGGATTTCAACGCTAAGGTTGGCAAGGGAAGGATCGAGAATACTGTTGGTGGCTTCGGACTGGGAGATAGGAATGAGAGAGGGAACGACTCATAGAGTTTTGTCAGGAGAAAGATTTAGTTATTGCGAATACTTTTTATGAGCTACCACCTCGACGACTCTATACTTGGACATCACCAAGAAGTAGCAAAGAGAAGATCATAAGGAATCAAATTGATTTCATTTGTGTCAACAGACGGTTTAGGAATAGCATTGAGAGTGCTAAAACCTACCCAGGTGCAGATGCGGACACTGACCACGAATTGCTTGTAGCCAACGTAAAAGTGAGACTAAGGAAGCTGCAAAGGATAATAAAACCGAAGATAATAAACACAGAAAAGCTCAAACAACAGCAGTATCAGAAGGAGTTTAACGACTCAATAGCAAGTGAGTTTTTGGAAGCATCAGCGACAAATATCGACATGGCCTGGGACCAAATCAAATCTACAATGTTGACTGCCGCGGACCAAGTTGTAGGCAGAAGAGAACATAATACGAAAAACCCTGGATGACACAGGAAATCATAAACCTTATAGAGGAAAAGCGTAAATACAAAAACACTGACCCGCAAAAATATAAACAATCAAAAGACAAATAGAACACGGCATAAGAAAAGCCAAAGAGACATGGATGGAGGAGAATTGCCGTGAAATGGAACAACTGAACAATAAACATGATTATTTTAATCTACATAAAAGTTAAAGGAATTAACTGGAAATAAAAAAAAGAATACCGATGATCACAAGAAACGCACAGGGAGATATACAGTTAACAGAAGAAGGCAAAAGACAAACTTGGAAGGAATACATTGAACATCTATTTGCAGCAAGACGAGATGACGTCAGAGATGAGAGCAACCAGGCGGAACAGCTATGTATTTTAAAATCAGAAGTGGAGTATGCTATAAAAACATCAAAGAGCAGAAAAGCGACCGGACCTGATAATATACCAATAGAATTCTTGAAGGCCTTAGACGATAGAAACTTAACTCAACTCACAATAATGCTCAATAAAATTTACGAAACAGGAGAAATCCCAAAAGACTGGCTTAAATCGGTCTTCATCCCTCTGCCTAAAAAGAACAACCCCAAGTCCTGTGATGAGCATCAAATTGGACCCAAGTGATATACAATTAATAAAAAATATCTACTACAATCAAACGGCAGTGGTTCGAGTTGGGGACATCGAGACTGATGAAGTCGAGATTCAAAAAGGAGTTCGCCAGGGCTGCGTTCTATCACCACAACTGTTCAATCTATACTCTCAGTTTGTATTTCAAAAAGCACTTTACGAGAGACCTGAGGGAGTAAACATTGGAGGGACATTGATTAACAACCTAAGATTCGCCGATGATACTGCCATAATGGCGGAGAGTGCAGAAGATCTTCAAACCCTGTTGGAAGAGTCAGTCGAGAGTGTGAAGAAGTGGGACTTGCTATAAACACGCAGAAAACTAAAATGATGGTCATAAGCAAAAACCCAAATATTAACCCTATTCTGACAGTAAATGGGAACCGAATAGAGCAGGTCCAAAAATACAAATATCTCGGCTCTACCATAAATTCTGAAATGGACCCTGATCAGGAAATTAAGATCAGAATTGAAATGGCTCGAAATGCATTTATGAAATATTCCACATTGCTCACAAACAGAAATTTAAACCTTGTCATCAGGTGAGATTCGTGGAGTGTTATGTGTGGTCGGTGTTAATGTACGGAGTAGAAACTTGGACGCTGAAGACTCAAATGATTAAAAAGCTCGAAGCATTTGAGATGTGGCTCTATAGGCGCATTCTGAAGATACCTTGGACTGATAGAATAAGCAACGACGAAGTGTTGAGACGCATAGGCCGAAACGAAAACTTCTCACAATCATTAAGATAAGAAAAACATCTTACGTGGGACACATATTACGCAGTGACAAATATCTACTGTTACAAAATATTATGCAGGGCAGAATTGAGGGGAGGAAGGGTATCGGCAGAAAGAAAAAATCCTGGCTCCGAAACATTAGAGAGTGGACAAATCTTGGCGTTGGAGAATTGTTCCATGTTGCAAAAGACAGAGAAGAATTTAGAAAAGTGGTCGCCAACCTTCTATGAGAAGACGGCATGGAAAGAAGAAGATAATATCCTAGCAACAGCTTGCGGTAATCAGTTGTATCCTTTGAATAAGAAGACTAAGGAAGCAGCATATCAAAAATCTTAGGTACACCGCGATGGGCCTCAAATATGGCCGACTTAAATTCGGTTTATCAGTGTCGTTCTAATTTTATTTAAAAAATGTAAAACTATGATGTAGGGTAGAAGTGGAGTAGATTCAATATATTTTTTTTTATTTTACGTTGTGAATAAATGTTGGTAGTTATTAAAATTGTTATAAAAATATATAATTCTAATAAAAATAGATAAGTTATAATAAGTATTTATTACCACAAACATCCGATACGCTACTGAAGCAGGTAAGTCAAATTAACGTATCTAAATTCTTTGACATCTAATCTTTGACAAGTAATAAATAAAAGCTAAAATGCAAGAAAAATATATAATTTAGTTAATTTAAGTGAATTTCATAAATGATCGGTTTACTACATGTATGTATATTACATAGTCACTTACTAGCGAAAAGTTGTTCCATTATTTCACTCAATATTTGCCGAGATCTACCGCACGCTACAGAACCAACTATTTTAGAGTCTTTTTCGATAAATCGCGATAGTGTCACTGTTAATTTAAGTGCTGCCACAATTTCCATCTAGATTTACTACTTTTATACAACTATCAGTAGTAGAATAAATAATAAATAACATAAAATAAGCTCCGTAAAGACTGACAAATCCACAAAATTTCAAATCAAATTCAAATGTGTCAAATGAATCGTCAAACAGAACTGTCAAGGATCCCCACCCTAGAGAGCTTTATCCGCCCACCATGCATGAATACATGGATAGCATTATGCTCCTTCCTTAGTCTTCTTATTCAAAGGTTGTATCCATAGAGAAAGCGTAATATTTAGCTTGTAAAACAATAAACTTTTGATTTTTAACAGCATTTCCTCTTGATGGATGATATGCAAAATTCAAAATGACATTCCTCACAAATTTTGAAGTATAATTAGTGGAAAAGTTTGGTAACTCTTTCCACTATTTGAAAATTCGTACCACTAATTTTGACGTTCTGAATGCTTACATTGAAATTAGAGGAACAAACTTTTACGCTAATTGAAACCACTAATTTATTCCACTAATTGCTAGGTTCTGAATGGTTCTGAAAGTTATCGATAAAATGAATTATCGTTATACCTGTATGATTCCGAAATTAGATCCTTTGGGATCGCTACGTATTTTAAGGGCTCGATAAACCAGAGGAATTTTCTCCAACTTCACTATGAGTCCGTCAATTTTCCGGTCAGAGGAGCGATACCGGCCATTTCTTGCCCTTATTGTTGGTCTGCCATTATACTCTACGCCTCGCTTGTACGTTTTCCTGGTAACATCACCTAAGATAACACGATATACCGGGTGCGTCTCAAAAGTGGCTCACCACTATAACTCTTTTATTTTTTCAGATAAAAAACGTGATTTGGTATACAGGGTGGTGACAATTTCGATGCTCAACATTGGCATCTCAGAAACTACGAGAGATGCGAAGTCGGTTAAATGGGACAAAAGTTGTTTTTGTTTGACACACACCTATGAAGAAAACCCCGGTATCTCGATTAGTTTTGGATTTATGTCAAAAAAAAATGAAAACAATAAGTTTATTTTAAATGACAATATCTTCAAAACTATTATATCTATTGCAACGTAAGTTGGTAGCTTTATATTTTTGACCTCGGTCAGTTAAATGCCGTTTTCAGAAAATTTCTAAGCCTTCTAGATTTCGCACAACAACAGCCAAGTTTTTGTTTTCTTATGGCCGCCATTTTGAATTTTTATACTATTAACCCCCGGTGTCTTCAGATACAGATAGCGCGTTATAATCCGTCAGATATATTTTATTTGATAGATAGCAGAAAAACGTGTATCTTCACCTATAGATAGCAATATCTATTAGATAAAATAACCTTATCCCTCAGATATCCTATTTGGGACCTGAACTGCCAAATAGCGCTTTATTTGTAGGATAAAAATTTGACGCATGAGCAAAGGCATGAGAAGATATTGATTTTATTTGACAAAATTGCTTAACACAACCAAGACATTGTTACTACTGAAGATTTCGTTTATTCCAATAAATTCGATTATTTGGAAAAGACTTACCTATTCTGAATATGTAGACTATAACCATTTTAGAACGTATAGGGTATAACATGGGTATAAACACCAATAAACACATTGAAATGGTGCAAAAAACTATTGTTGCTAGTGCCGGACTTTATAAGGACTGTTACAAAATAAAGAGAGCCTCTGTTCTGTTAGAGCATCAGAACGAAGAAAATGCATTAAGTCAGGATAATAGTGATAAAACAGCAATTTATAAATTATTTTATTTAAATCCTTTCAATTATAAATCATTACGTATCGACATAATTATTATGATACAGATAAACATTAGCAGTTTTTATATATTAAGATAATATATAAAATGATAATGTTTATCTGTGTCGTCTCTACTGAAGTAACGACTTGCTCTAGAAAGTTGCTTTTTTTACTAAAAGATAGCTAATTGGCCCTTCTAGAAACTGCCGTCGCCGGATTTTTTGTTTTTCATTTAATTAAAAAAAATAAAAGTATTTTTTTCCTGATGTCGTGGCGGATGCGCCAGGCTTCAACTAGTTTTTAATAAAGCTCTAAAGTAGGTAAAAAATAAATAAAACTTTTTAAATCAAACTATTTATATCATTTTTAATTCGCATATCTTAATTCATTAATATTATAACAGGAACCTTATAAAACCTGTTATTCAACTCACATTTGCTTTTATTTCTTTTGTGTTACAATTTTACTTTTTCGATCATTACGGTACATCTCTTCTCCATGCTGTTTTTTAAGTAACTCTCTAGCTAAACCTTGCTAAAACACCTGTGTTGTGGTCCTTTGAATTCCAGTTAGTTCACCTTTGTTTAGAAAAGATTTTTCCTTCATTTTTTCTTTTTTTTTTTGAAGTTCCATCACTTTGAGTTCTTAAAAATAAAAGTAATATGACAAATTATTATTAAGACAAAAGTATAAGTGCATTTATCTATTATAGTAAGTATATAATAAGTATTATATATATACTATCATTGATGCTATCCTACCTATTTCTTTACTATGAGAAGCCCTAGAACAATAACATATTTGTTATTACTAACAGTCTTATGCTAATTTTAATTTTCAATATTAATAGCTTACCAGATGGTGGTTTTAGGATTTGTTTATAAATCTCTGCTTGCACTTCACCAGCTTCTTCCATATTTTCTATTATCAATTGTACTAAAATGTTAATATAATAAATATAACAGTAATATCATGTAATTAAACTATAAATTACTTACAGATTATTTTTTCTTGTTTTCATTTCTTATAAATAGCATTCCATTCATAGATCTATTGCACCACTGCTGAAATTGAATTATCTTTCCCTTTTTCCATAAATGTAAATTTAAATAGCCTATATAATAGGACTAGTTGAAGTTGAACACAAAATATAGTTTAGTTGAATTTTATTGTTTTTATTTTCATTTTGACGATCTTTTGACAACTGAACAATAACCTCACTTTTTATTTTTAATCTAACGATTTGAAGTTCCGAGTTTTTGTCTCTGTCTGTTTTATAGAGTTTTCATATATAACCATCTCAATTTCAGATATCTTATATTGGCAACACTTTCTCTGCGGAGTGTCTAAGTCTAACGGTCCGTAGGCGGCCCCTCCTCCAAATTGTTATCTATTGGATTATTTTGTATGAAAATACCCACATGTTATATCCTATAGATAGCAGGCTCTAGATTGTTTATGTTTTAGATGGTTATTTGTTAGATAAAAGTTATTTATTTATAACTGAAGACACGGGGCCTAAATAGAGCAAACAAAGTCTATACCTATCTAATTTTTATTCATTATTATATAAATTCGCTAAAAAATAGATTTTTTAAAAAGATCAAGTCTACCTTGGAGATCCAATTGACACTTTACATGTCAGCAAGTTATTTTTTGTTTATTCTATTTAAGTGTCAAATCTGGACGCACAAAAATTGTGTACTAGAGTTCAATACAGGTCAATACAAGGAATTGTCGTAAAATGACTCTCTCATATCAGTATATCACCAAATCAGATTATTTGTAGTCTGGTTTCTCTAATTAAATTACGATTTTCTTTTGCATAATAATGTCAATTTTTTTTTCTTTTAAATGTACCAGAATTTGTAAATAAAGATTCATCAGTCCATAATATTTTTTATAAAAAATGGGGCTTTCTTGAACACTTCCCCGAAACCATTTGCAAAATTGTAATCTTCTCTTGTGATCAACAGCATGCAAAAAAATGTAAATTTGGTACACATTTAAATTTTGATATTATGTTTTTTGATAATTTTCCCGACATAAGAATCGCTTATATAGTAAACGCCACTAATGTTTGGGAGTGATTCATCGGTCGCTACCATGTGAACTAATCTGTTCAAGGTCACATAAAACTTAATTCCAGTGCCGTGGTGTTTCAAGTTATAGAATAATCAATATATAATCTGTTGTAATTTGTTGTTTTAACTGTCAAAGTCTTGTCAAAACATATATTTGGTTATAAATACAAAATGGAATGCCCCATTGATCGCACTGCAAGCACACCAATGGATTGACGCACATAAACGAATCAATCAAAGAAACGCGATACAGTATCGTCTTTGTCAATCACGCTAACATTTTAGAATAAGTAGGAGCGCAGGTAGATGATTAGACTGGGCCTTTAAAAACCTACGTTGGCGGTAAAAATTTACGTTTTTAACGTAAAAATGATAGCGCGCGTGTCGATTCTAACTTCATCAAGCGATGAATCACTCCCAAACATTCGTGGCGTTTACTATACAACACTCGCGACTTATTTTACGGCTAGAAGTTTTCGGACTTATTTCAATCTGAGCCGGCATAATAATATCATTAAGCCTTATAAAATATTGCGCTCTTGTTTTTTAAAGCTACCAGCAACTGCTAAATTTCTTGAAATCCTTGCGAAAATGGCGATGAGGCTGTGTCCTTTCAGGATACAATGTTCTATAAATTGTGCATGCTATATCGGAATTTCTGTTATTTTTTAACTAAGCGTCATATATATCTCATGTTTCCTCACTTGTAAACATATTGTTGACTGTTAATACACTTTACACAATCTATTATACATTTATGTGTCCAGATTTGACACTTAAGAGTCCATTTCACTAGTCCGAAAAAGTAGCAAAATAAGCGTTCGGCATTTAACGTTTTATGTCAAACTGGCTAGGTATTTTTACACATACGAAGAAGGAAATTAAAGATAAAGGATTATACTAAATCCGTCGTGTAGCACATTTTTAGATAACTTCTTCATTTTTAAGATTTTGTTGGTCAAACATAAACAAAATAAACCTTATGTTTGGACTAAATTTTCTCGAAAATAAAAATATATTTTAAAATTCTGTTACTGGAGGGAAATAGATTGAAGTTTTGTGATTACAGTGATATATAATCACAACAATCTTGTCACAGTTTTAGTTACCGTACTCCTCGGAAACGACTTGACCGATTTTGATGAAATTTTATATTATGTATATTCAGTATGTCGGAGAATAGGTTGATATCTATTTTTTATACCTTTAAGTGACAAGGGAGGCCCCCCCAATTTTTTTATTTTTTGGAAAAAAAAATAATTTTTGTTTTTTACGATGTGGCATTAAAAAATTCATACAACACTAAATTTTCACTTTCAAATAGGGGCTGTTTTTTTTTAAATTTTTGTTATCATATGTCTCCGTAACGGCTTCACCGATTTGGATTAAATTTTATATGTATATTCAGTAGGTCTGAGAATAGACTGTTATCTATTTTCTATACCCTTAAGTGACAAGGGGGGCCCCGCCAATATTTTTTTATTTTTTGGACAACATTTTTAATTTTTGTTTTTTTTTACGATGTGGCATTAAAAAATACATACAACACTAAATTTTCACTTTCAAATAGGGGCTGTTTTTTTTTAATTTTTTTGTTACCATATTTCTCCGGAACGGCTTCACCGATTTTGATTAAATTTTATATGTATATTCAGTAGGTCTGAGAATAAGTTGTTATCTATTTTTTATACCCTTAAGTGACAAGGGGGGCCCACCCCAATATTTTTTTATTTTTTGGACTACATTTTTAATTTTTGTTTTTTTTTACGAGGTGGCATTAAAAAATACATACAACACTAAATTTTCACTTTCAAATAGGGGCTGTTTTTTTTTATTCTTTTGTTACCATACTTCTCCGTAACGGCTTCACCGATTTTGATTAAGTTTTATATGTATATTCAGTAGGTCTGAGAATAGGTTGTTATCTATTTTTA